TGTGTGTGTGTGTGTGTCTGTTTGTCCGGGTATTTCAACTCGGCAACTAAGCAATTTTCGGCGTCAAAATTTTGCCAGTAGCTTCCCTTGCCAATTGCCAACCCAGGACCGCGCCACCAACCCTCACGCACATCTAGCCTCGCTTATGAGCGCGTGAAAGTTTTGATAAGGAAGTCGCTAACTCGGGAACCAGAAAGCTAGAAAGCTAAAATTTTGCGGCTATGTTCTCCGCCCGCGTAGAAATCAAGGATTTCAAATACAGCCCCAGGTATGCATGGGTCCCACGTACGACCTCGTGAAAGTTTTTGGCGGGAAAACTGGTGATTCGGAAGCCAGAAAAAGTCTGACGTATGAAATTTTAAAGGCATGTTCCCAGCCTATGTATAACTTAAAGTTATCAAGTTCAGACCCCAGGTATGCGTGGTTCCCACGCACGGTCCCGTGAAAACTTTTGACGGAAAAATTGCGAGCTCGGGAACCAGAAAAGCTTGGAAGCTGAGATTTTAAGGAGATTTCCCCTGAACAAGTAACATGCAGCTGCACAATTAATTTCCTGAACCTCGAGGACCAGTGTACTGTAAATTCTAGCTACTGGAACTCCAACCGATCTTTCGACAGCATGAAATAGTGCAAAAACGCATGATCGTACGGGTTCGCCCGATGCGCGTCGCCAGTTCTTTTTTAAAATGATTTTTTGTCGTCACACAGATAAGGGTGGGAAGGGGAGGAAAGGCGAAAAGATGGTAAAAACGAAAAGATAATAGTAGTTTCCACTTTAAATGATTGCCTTGTCGTAAAACAAATGAGATATTTTTTGCATATTTTGATGATGCATTTAGATGAGTTAACTGTTCAGGAAGTCCATTCCAATATGCAGTCGCATCTACCTTGGCTACGAAGGTGATTGCTTCTGCAATGGTCACTCGTCAGCCTGCGATCCATTCACTCATCAGTGTCTCAACTGCGCCGACAACACCTATGGAATACAGTGTGAAAAGTAAGTCCGTTAAATACTGGCACATTCAGAAGGAGTGCAAGCTCTCTTAAAGCAAGAAATCGCAAGGCTTCTTAAAACAAGAAAATTGCATCCAAATTGTGGAAAATTCTCTCACTGAGTTATAGAAATGGATCATTTTTTTAACCGGCCCACAAAAATAAAAATTGGTACATATGTGAAGCACGGCACCATCTATCCTCAAAAGTTTGCACTATCGCAATTGAAAGCGTCTTGCGGATAATTAAACTGCTTATCTCCGAGAATCCACAAGCATTATGGAATCTGTTCAACGAGCATGCGACCAGTGTGAAGGAAACTAGAGTTCATTTACACAGAGGAGAACCAATTGAATGAAAACCGTCTATCGCTCTCAGTTCGAAATCTGACCTGAAAATCGGTCAACCGAGCTTGTAATTAGCAAATTTGTTAGAAGCACTACGATGCAGATGAATAAGGAATTGGGTTTGTAGCTCAGTAAATTATACAGCCTTTTTCTAAGTTACGAAACATTCCGTCAGCATTAACACGATATCGACTGCTAATGCTGCATTTCCCTAGTGCGTTGCCAGCTCTGTTGCTTGAGAATTCCATGTTTTTCAAGGACAGGAATTAGGAGTGACCCGAAGAGCCATGAAACGACTCATCGTCGATTTCAGCAAGTTGAAGTGCTGCAGTTCCAGCTCGATGTAAGCTGCGTTATCAAGGCAGCGCATTTCAGCAAGAAGAGCTAGTCAAGTGGCAGGAATGCGAACAATACGATGCGCTTAAGGAGACAAAATTGTCCACACTGTCTTTCAACGCATTCATACGTGTTGGAGACTGAGACTGCACATAGCCCTACTGCGCAACACTACGGTCCCAGCGGGTTCCTCGTTCTCCTTACGAACAGGAAAAAACTAAAAACGCTGCCAACATAAGCATGCACATTAAACTGTAAAGTAACGGCCATTCATTACTGTAAACGATGCGGCTGCTTCAGATTTTGAGCGACAACACTGGTGCGCTTTGCTACCTGTTTTCTAGAGAAAAGGAGTAAATTGAACCGAAAAACGCTGAACTCAAACAAATAGTGCCGAACAAAAACATTTCTACTTACAGGCACTTTTACAGATGTTTGGATGGATTTGAAGGTAGTGCACTGCTAAGTGAAGTTGGATGTCTGCAAACTGGTCATAATGTAGGGTTTACGGAATGCACATGCAACGCGCATTCAGCACAGTGCGACGAAGATGGCGAATGTTTGGTAATTTTTTAAAAGTTATCTGGGGTGCATAATTAAACTTCTTTATCATCCGACATTTAGCAGACTTAAGAGGTATACAATATTTTTACACGTCTTTTGAGCTGAACGTGAAGATGCGCTGAAGCAAAATTCGCTTCATGTGTATACGCTTGTTCACTCTGCTCAAAAAAGCTTTGTTCTTTAAAGTTTTAGCGTCCCGGCAGCCATAGTTCCGAAGCTAAAATGTGCGAAAACATTCTGTTCTTCATTACAAATTTTCCCATGGATTTGACTGTTACATTTCCATTTCGGCCTGCCTGTCCTGTCCAAAAAGTCTAGAAGTAATCTCAAACTTGAGCCATTCCCGATAGTTCCGTTATCAGTTTTAATAGTGTCCAAGTAGTCAAAGTGATACCAGTAGTACAAGCATTCTGAATAATATACACTATTAAAAAGATATTTTCCTTAGAAGTCCTGCATTAACCGGGATTTCCACATTACCGGTGCATGCACTCTAACTATTAAAAAAAATTTCAGTTCCGCTGACGAATTTTTATAGCGTATTTCTTCCAGAACTGCAAGCATAACACTGCAGGAAGTCAGTGCGAAAATTGTGCAGAAGGTTTCTACGGTGATGCAACCCAAGGAACAGCAGAAGACTGCATCCCATGTCCATGCCCGTTCGTTCTTTTCCCATACTTTTTTTAAATTTCTAGTACGTTCTTATGGCACATCAACCAGCAAAACTCAGCAAAGGCAAATTTTCAAAAGCAGCAGCATTGTTCTGAAAAGTGAATATCGACCTTTTGCAACGTGGCCAAGTGGTGTCACTCGTGAGGGCTTCGTTTTTCCTAGGCAGGCATTTTAAATCATCGACTTTGACTTTTTCTTTGAGGAACTGAAAAAATTTAATAGCCACTGCAGATGCTTGAGAAGCATAAGAGATCCGTCTTAGCATCTGCAGTCGGTTGCAGAGATACAAAAGATACTGGTTTACAGAATATGTTTGGACACTGGAGTGATTAGAAAGGATCGATCTCAAAACCAAAAAACTCAGAATATTTTATCTTCTGCCAGAGATGAAGGACACGCTTCAAGAGTAGGGCAGGTACACAATTGCCTGAGCTTTACCGACAACCCATGCACAATTGCCCAAGCTTGTGAAAAGTTTGGTTCTCCCGCTGGTGGGTTTGTATAATCGACTCCTGCATAGGTAGAGACACTACTCATTGGATCGACTTCGATTTTAAAATAATTGGCCAACGCACGGGCTGCCCGTGCGAAGATGTGTTTTTTGCATAGTTCCCCGCAGTT